CAGGGTTAGAAGCACTTCTTGAACTATACACAAAGTTTTAGGGGCTGATCACTCTGGGTCTATCCTTCCTAGATAGGGAGCCGATGGAGTATCTGATTCCAGTGTCTAGCACAACAAATACTGGCTCAACAAGAGAAGATTTAGATAGCACTTGTAACAGCAAAACAAATGAAACCCAGCAAGATCAACTCCTGGCACAGTGAAAATACATTTTATTTTCTAGTGTCAAGCAGAACAAAATGCCTTGTTAGATCAGGTAAAATCTAATGAGCAGAGAGAGGGAATGTTATCATGAAGTTATGAATTCACCTTCTGTTCCCATTTGCTGACATGAGAGAGCCCATCTAATTGAATTTGATCTTTAGGGAAATCTACAGGAGCATTGCTATCATATCCAATATGGTCAGTGTCCCTATGCCCCTCTTAATTTTCTCCTGTGACTTCCATCCATTTTTAAAGTAGGGACACATCTTAGAACACCTAAGTCAGCACCCTCTCAGTTTCACCCATGGCCCTAGACAAGGAAATGGGATTCGTGACACCCACAAGGGAGGGGAGAGTCCTAGGCATAAAAGGACATTGCCTATGTGTCAATTAGTCCACTCAAGAGATGTTTATCCAGCACGTAGCATAGCACCATAGCAAATAGTGAGATAGCCAAGAGGCATAAGCACCTGCCTCGCAAGTGCAAGGCCCTGAGTTCGTGGGTACCACAAAAAAATAAACATTGCTTACTGAGCTTGTATTATTGCTTAATTAGCTTGTAAAGTCTGGTAACAACACACAACAGTTAAGAACACAAATTCTGAAGCCAGTCCACCTAGGCACTGCCTTTTGCAGTGTGATGTCGGTCAGATGAGTTAACATCCCTATGTCTTGCTCATAGAGATAGACTATAAGAATTAAATGAGATATGACAGGCTTAGCAGATGCTTGGCTCAGGGGAATTCCCAACCAATAATAATTAGCTGAGAAGGAAGAGACTATGGCAGGCACTCTGCAGAGCTGGGAGAAACTGTGGTGCATACAGAGAATGCCCTGGTGACTTGTGCTCTTGAAAGGGGAGATAGACAGAAAAGTAAACAGTTGAATAGGCTGAGTAGGAATGCTGTGCACGAAGCCAAAGGGACTCTATGATGTAGAGCAGTAGGGGTGAAAAGATCACCAGGGAATGTTCTGCTAGGAAGACAACCGTAGCTAAGCATAGCATGGTGAGGGAGGCCTGCTGCATGAAAAGCCCTGTAAAGAATAACCCAGGTGCAGGGCAAGGCAAATGCAGAGGCCCTCATGAGATAGGGTCTAGAATGTTCAAGAAGCAGTCAGAGGCCATTGTTGAGTGGAGTAAGCAAGAGCCAGAGGGAAAATTGCCCTAGTATAAAAGGAGGCTAGGCAGGATGAAGCTGTGGGCACTGCAGAGACCATGGGAAAGGCATCCAAGTGTTGGAGGTGGGGGGAGAGGGGACCAAGAGAGATGAGAGTGGGAACCATCTTTTAAGTGGACTAATTGATAAATAGGCAATGTCCTTCTATGCCTAGGACTCTCCCCTCCCTTGTGGGTGCCACGAATCCCCTTTCCAAGAGAGATGAGTGGCCAGAACAGGGAGAAGGGCACCCGTGGAGCCCCCAGGGTAGATTCTGCTAGTAAATGTGTGTCCTGTACCTTGGCAGCTCTTGGAGGAGGTGACTGTCAGTGAGTTCCTGGAGGAGGCCCTGAGGGTGACTGTCAGAGCCTGGAAAGGGGCCGAGAATCCCATTTTCTCACTTCCTCCACTCGCCCTCAAATCTCCATGTAGTCCAGAAGGCTGGATCTGCGGCACTGAGTTCATGCTGCTCCTCTCCCTTCTCCTTCAAAGTGTCTCCCAAGGATGTACAGTATGCGCTGGCAAGACTGCAGCCTAGAAGAGACAAACTCAGGCAAGAGCTTGTCGCAGGGTCCACAGGTGCAGCACAGCCTCAGGGTGAAGAAGCAAGCACTAGTACTAGGGAACTTCTGGAGCTCACAGTGTGACTGTGTTTGTACTTCTGCCTAACCTGCGTGACATTTTGATGGCAAAGAAAAGAAGGATTGCAACAGGGCATGGAGGACACTTTTGTAATCCCAGTGCTTAGGGGGGCCTGACGCAAGAGGAATGCAAGTTGGAGACGAACCTGGACAATGCAGGAATTTAGTCGAGACCCTGTCTCAAAATTAGAAATAAAGGAGTAAAGATGTAACCCAAGGTAAATTATTAATAAATATAATTAACATATGCACAAATAGTAGGTAATACAATTAGTAATGTAACTCAAGGCATATTAAAATTTTCTCCTTTCTCTGTGGTCTGGAGGCTTCTGAGACCACTAAAGCCAACAGGTCCTGCCTCACTGGGGCATTGGGCTCTTCACATCCTCTGTGCTCTGGGTAGTTTTCAGCCCTGCCCTCTCCAGCTTTGTTCCTGCTGGCCACTCTCTGTCCTCATCTCGCCAATTTGGCCACTTCTTATGATCTTACTGCCCTCGTGCCACTCTCTCTTGGCTTTCATTCCTAGTTCCCTGTTTTCTTGAAGATGCCCCTATGGGAAGCCCCTTCAGCTTCCCCCTCCCTTCTTACTAGGGCTCCCCTGTTAGGGCACCAGTCTCCTCCACTCTCCTGAGCCCTCTGTCCCGCAGACAGTGTCCACCCCTTCTCCAGATGCAGACTCCTTTCTCTAGGGCTCTGTGTCTCCCCACCTGCTGTGGTCAGTCCCTCTTCTGACCACCCTGCTGACCTCAGTCCCCCTGAGAAGAGGCCAGCCCAGGGAAGCCTGGGGCAGCTTAGGAGAGGGAACTCAGAAAATGGCTTGCACAAGCCCGGTGCTGCCAGGGACACCAAACTTCTCCAGCATGATTTGCCTCTCCCAGAGTGAAAACTGAAGGGCACAGGAGAATCCATGTGCTTTGTCAGTGAGTGTGAAAGATTGTGTTTTATACTTTTGGCACACACTTCTCAACATTCGCTGTTAAGTATAGTACAACTCAGCCCTGCTGTAAGAGTCTAACTGATTTAAACCAGGCACGTCCTAAATATATTGAAATCTATATAAAACAGGGAGATTACCCTCTATTCTGAAGTTGGCTGGGAAGGTTGCTAAGAAAATCTGAGTTTGCAGGGAAAGTATTTCTTGTCTATTACACTCACAACATTCCCGCTTTTAACCCTTTCTGCCATATTTATGAGGGTGCTGACTACAAAACCCAACTTGAACGGAATGAAGCCAGAAAGGGACTTACTGAATAAGAAGAGAAGCCACCTGGGGCACAGGGACTCCTACAATCCTGTCTTCCTTCCCTTCGTCACCACCAATGACAGCTTTGTGTCCCTCACCAGCATCCTTCCAAAACAGGCTGGAGCAGCCTGTAGCTGCATCCTGAACCTTGAGAATGAGCAAAGGGGCCCTTCCCCAGAATTCCCAGCGCCAGTAGGTTACAGGTGAGATTTGTGCTCATCTGGGTCCAGAGTAGAGTGATGCCAGTGGTATAAAGAACATTCTCTGAAGACGAAGAAGGAAGAGAACACCATAACCCTCTACTTCACCTCCTACAGAAATCAGACCCCTTATTGCCAAAATAAATAAAATCTCTTGTCTGTTTACAGCCCATCCTTGTCTTGCGCTATCTTGGCTTCTGGGTCCTAGACATTCAGGTCTCCTAATCTGCCCGTCCTCAGCCTGGAACTCCCTTCTCTTCCTGTTGCTCCTAACAGGCCTAGCTGTTGTCAGCTCCCTCTGCAAAATCTTTCCCCCTCCTCTCTGCATTAGTCAGCCTTCGAAGCCCTGGCATAAAATACCTGATGCCACCAAGTGAAGGAAGGAGAGAAACACCATAGAAGAGTATGGTCAGGCAAAGCTATGCCTTCCACGGTGGCGAGGAAGCAGAACAAGGGAAAGAGAACCAGCAAGAGACATACCCTTCAAAAGACACACACCCAGTAGCTCATCTCTTTCAACTGGGCATCAGCGGAGCAAAGTATCTAAGCCTCCATGAGCCAATCACTTATCCCAGAATCCTTAGTCCAGCCTAGTTGACAATTATGATTAGATGGCAGCCTGCATTCTACCTACTGCACACCCAGGAAGATGCTGTTACCATTTCGTGGCTGCTCTGCCCGCTCCACCAGTCCGCAGTGTCCTCAAGAGCAGGGGGCAGTCTTCTTTATTTTTGTATCCTAGCAGCTAAAAGCTAACATGAAATAGGTACACCGGAAATGCTTCTTCTAGTTGCATTGAGCAGGATAAAAGAGTGCACACAGCTTAAGAAGTTGTGAACTAACTTAAAACCTTAATAACCCATGCCTTGATGTCCTCTGTGAAGAAGATGCAATGCATAGGGTTTTAGTTAAGGGTAAACAGGAGGGTTTCCTCTCATTCCATTTAGTTTAGAAATTCAATATTTCAGTGTATCCAAAAATCATTTTTCTTCACTTCTTACCTGCATCAGTGCTTTTAACATTTCATCATTGCTCCTGGCCTCTTCTGTGACATTTCAGTTTTGACAACTGCCTCCCTCACCCGCAGGAAAACAGCTGGGGATCTACTGTGGATCCAAAATTCTTTTTCCGGCAGGTGGCTTAGCCATTGATGGTACTCTGTGGAGTCTTGTGACTTCCAGAAGTGTGTTTTTCCCAACTCAGCAATCTGCCTGGACTGTTGTAGGAGACTGTGAGAATGTATATGTGCACACTTGTGTGTACAAGTGTGGGTGTTCAGGTGTGTGCATTGGAGGAAGAGCTGGGAGGCGTGGGGGAGACTGCACATGTGCCCCATGGCTACTGTTCAGAGCACACATATCTGACTCTCACCTACGTGGGACTCCCCAACTTCTCCCTAGATAACCTGTATAAGTGAAAGCCTTCTGGGAGCCCTGTTATATTGTCTGAAAAATGAAGATGTCAGACCCGTGTAGCTGTGGGGCCTAACCTTTACAGGCAACACATTAGTGCAAGTCTGTACTCACCTTGTCATGTTGTTTTTATGTTTCCACAGAGGTCTCATTGCCAGTGATTTCACCGAAACTCATTATCTACAAGATGGTACTGATATCTCTCTCACTCGAAATTACACGGTAATTCTTGCACGTTTGGGTCAGCATAATATGATGCTATCCGTCAAGTCTGTACTTAAGCATTGTAGCCATTTTATTCCATGCAAAGTCAGGCACGCAGGTTCCAAACCCAGGCCCCAAGAAGTGCACGCCCCACCTGTGGTGTTCAGGCACCCCACCGTTATTCCAGAAGCACTTGGCTTTGGCTGGGTGTGTCAGGACACGGCTCAAGGAAGGACTGCGCTTGAATCACCTTCCCAGGGGTAGCAGATGCTCACTTGGGCAAATCCTTTTTAGAAAATCTAGCCACAGGTTGAGGTGGCTTGGAAAACAATCCTACCTCTGGTGAATTTTAATGCCCAAACCTTGAAGTACCTTAAGGTTGTTAAAAGGAAAAGCAACCCTGTGAGCTAGTTAGAAATGCATCTACAACACGGGTGTGCTTCAACATCCAAACCTTTCGTATAGTCTGACATTTATCCTATCTCCTACCCAGCTTACCTGATATTTGAACTTTTATATGTAACTTCCACAAAATGTCTGTTCTGTGTGCTCCTTTAACAAACTTGACTGTGCATTTCTATGTGTGCATACGGCTCCTGTGTGAGTAGGGCAATTCCAAGAGAACAGGTCACAGTTGCTACCCTGAGAACTAAGGCTACTTGTTTTGAAGAATGAAGTGTGTTTGTTTTAAGAAGAAGGTGGAGGCTGACTATGCAGTATCGCTAAGGAGGGGACCAGCACGCCTCACAGTCTGCAGGGAGCTTGCTCTTCTCCAAAGCACACAACACTCTCCTGTCATGTGTTTGGCACCCAGCATTTACAAACCGATCTGCCCTTCTCCAGGAGCACAGGGTGCAGAGTTGCTGGGGCTCTCCCAGTCCAAAGAAGACAAATACAAATCTTGAACAAATATAAGCATATAGGAATTTTTTATAATGCCTGGCCATGTTAAAAAGGGAATCAGAGAATGCCCCCCTCTTTCCAAGCAGAAACAAAGAGGGACATTAACTCACAGTATGAGCTACTGAATTGTGGGCTGTGGGACCCCAAAGAGCTATTCAGGAGACCCTGAGAAAAAAGGGACAAGAGAAGTGGGTGCCTGCAATTGTGATCCCCCTAGGAGACCTGTTTCCTATATGAAAAAGAGGCAGGAAATCTCTCCAGTCCACAGGAGGTACAAGAAAGAACTGTCTGCCAGGAATCCTGGATTGAAAAAAGATTTTGCAAGATGGAAAAAAAAAAAAAAAAAAACCCATCAAACCTCATGAGTTTGGGTTGGGGATGGGCTGGGCTCATGCCAAACTCATAATACCATCATAAGAATGGAATTCCCAGTCAAGATATTGACTTCAAAACTGGTCCAAACCAGTGAAACCCCTGTGGGTCCAGGCTGAAGCCAACCCACACTCGAGCCACACAGATAGCCTTACAAACCTCATTGTATAAGATGCCCATGCAAATTAAAAAAAAACAAAACTAAAGGAGGAAAATAATAACATATATTATTATATATTATAATGTAATATATATTTATTTAGAACAGGGTCTCACTACACAGATCCGACTCATAGCGATCCTCCTGTTTTCACCTTCCCAAGCGCTGGGATTACAGGCACATGCCACCATGCCCAGTCTCAGTTGCCATCTCAGTGCACCCTGGGGATGGAGCCAGCACAGCAGGCCAGGGATCGAACCCCAGTCCCTTTAGTCTGCTGAGCTATCTGGCCAGCCCTCATGATAATGAAAATATTAAAGATGAGCCCCAAGTTGTCACAATTACAAATGAAACAAAGAACAAAGCCATTGTAAGTGAGCCTTAGTAGATAAGAAACAAGAATATTTCCAGGAATTCAGGATAATAAAAAACCAGAGGAAAACATTACAGAGAATGGAACAGATCTAGCAGAAATTCCAAACTTAAAATATATTTTAAAAAATAACTTTTTTTTTTTCTTTTCAGTACCAGGGATTGAACTTAGGACCTTGCGCTTGCCAGGCAAGTGCTTATTCTACTGAGCTATCGCCCAAGCCCTATTTTTAAAAATAGGAAAAAAATCAGTGATTTAGGAAAACATGATGAGAATAATACTGAATTCAAGAAGGACATTAACCTTGAAGACAATCCACCTAGTCCTCAGCAGGAAAAAATAACAATAAACCCACTCCAAGATGATGCATAGCAAAACTGCAGAACATCAGCGATAAACTCTTCAAACCACTGCGCACAAGCGAAATTGATGTAAAATAATGACAGCTAAACCAATACTAAGTTTCTAATTAGCAACAATGGAATTTAAACTTTAGGAACTGAGAGAAAACTATTGCCACCTTGAATTTCATACTAAAATTATCTTACAAAAATAAGAGTAAAACAGACACGTTTAATTATGTGCCCATGAAATTTACTATCAGATTCTAAGAAAGAATATCTACTCAGAAATAAATAGCAAAAATATCTTAACAAGAATAAATTTGAGCAAAAGAGGCAAAAATAATATGTCAGAAGCAATAACAAGTAAAATAATAGCACGTGAGCAAATCTAATCCATGGAAAATAATAATTATAACAATGATGATTATATTTGCATGATTTAAAACAAGATAAACAAATAGATTTAAAACAGTTTATGATTTTATTGTATTAGAGAATAATAGACATGCTAATTAGATTTTGATAAATAGGCTTGATGTAGTTTTAAATATACCTTTTGAAGAATAGAAATATAATTTATTTCACACAATCAGTAATAAATAAAAATGCCTCAACCCAATAAAGGGTAAAGAAGAAATAAAAGAATGAAGCAGAATAAATATAAAATACAAATAAGATAAAATTAAATATTAATTTCATGTGTAAATAAATTTGTTAGCAAAATAAAAACAAAATATCTACTTAGAATTTAAAGTGAAATACAGGGGGCCTGGCCCTAGCTCAGGCCTTTAAGTGGCTGCTTCCACAAAGCTGTCAGCCTCAGGTTGCTGGAGTTCGAACCTCACACCTCTCCCGCTGGCCAAAAGTGCCCTGAAGGCATTCGAGGAACCAATAAAAAAATAAAAAAATAAAAATAAAAAAAATAAAGTGAAATACAGCTGCATAATTTTTGTAAGACTCATACCCCAACAGATACAAAAGGTAGACAAATCGTACTCCAAAGAAAGAAGCTGTAATCCTGTTCACAAGTTAGACCTTAGGCCCAAAAACGACATTATCAGGGATAAAGGGGTCATTGTATAATGATAAAAAGAAAAATTCAAAAAAAAAAAAAAAAAGGAAAGAAAAATTCAAAAAGAAAGAATTGTTAGACTATATGGAGCAAAAGAATAATCTCAAAAATATAAAAAGAAATAATTGGAAGGATCTAGATGCAACTTTTAAATCTAATTATAGTTTCATCCAGAATTGAGGCTTTAGCCCAACTTCTAATTAAAAAATTTCTTAAAGCCTAACAAAATCCATCAGAACTTATAATTTTTCTCTTCTAATTTTACTTTAAAAATCCAATATCACATTTGGACCTAACAATTTCTCCTGAAGAGAACAGATGGATCACTGTGAGTCCAATCTAGTAGTGAGACCCTGAACACCCTGGAGACCCTTCCCTAAAATACAAAAAAAAAAAAAAAATAATAAGATAAAATAAAATTGCAAATAAAAAGTGTTAGTATAATGAATGTTACTTTTGCATTACAATCTCTATAGCTTTTCTTAAGTGGATTATGATGAGTCCTCTGGGTCGGGAGTATCCCTAGCATCCCTACTCTGTCACTAGAACTTCACATAGCATCCTACAGATACTAGGTTTTCAAAAACTGATGTGCCTGACCATTGCAGCATCAGAGGTAAGGCTACCCAGAATTCTTTCATTCATGTGTGTTCATTCACTCAGGGTTGGATAAGATTGAATACAGCGATCGTCAGCATAGAAACCCTACTAGAGGCAGGGCATTTGAAAACAAAGAGAAACATGTGTTAATATAATTGTCATGAGAAGAGATATGTAGAAAATACCATTTAGCTTTTACTCTTTGGGGCCAACTGATACTTTTCTGTTTCAATTGCCTTACTGATTTTCTTTTTTCTTAGGCATTTTTCTCCATCTTTCTCATTTGGAAAGGATAATGCAGTACAAATGAAAAAGAAGCAGAAATACAGGACTAGATAAATGAGAGCCTGATCGCTGCCAGGTCTCCCTTGGATTGGGCTTCCATAGTTGAAGCCTACAAATCTAGGCATCTTAGAAAATGGTCAGGATGGCAGCATTCCAGAACCTTAATGTCCTTGATGACTCGGTGGGGTGTGGGGCTCTTGCTTCACTGTCATCTGTGATCAGTATATGTGCGGAGGGCCAGGGCTCTGTGTTCTTCCTTCTTGCTTCTCCCAGTGGTGACTGGGTGGGACAGTCCTTCCCCAGAGTGAGTCCCCAGGCTTTGGCTGATGTGACAGTGAGAGGGAAAAAGCCAGAAAGTGCCAGAACTTTCACGTCTACCCAAGTTCAAGCTAGTATCCTCTACAGAATATGTAAGAAACTTGTTTTAAGATGTGATTCATCCGAGACTGTATTTTAATCTTCAGCCAACTCTTTGAAACTATCTTCAGTAGGTAAAGCAGCGAAAGGACAGATTAACAGGCAACCCCAGACCTCTGGAAACAGCAGCACATTTGCTTTTATAACTAGAAATACAGTGGCTCTTCATTCCATGCATCAGCTCCCTCGTCCCGGTCCCTTCAGTGCCATCTAAGCTGTCAGCCATCAGCCATGTTATTCGCTACACGGAATCCAGAGCCCGGACAGCTGGGCTTTATGAAAAGTTCAAGACTTGGGTTGTTACTGGTGATAGAGACAGTTGCAGCCTAGGGATTTGTTTTCACCAAATCAGGCTGAAAAACAAAAAGAAATTTCCTGACTCCCCTTCTCATCCTCTAAAGTCAGCCCACAGAGAGTTTCCCTGAATTTAAAGCTCGTAGAAAATAAGAACCACTTTGGTTATAATGCTTTTGTTATTTTAATATCTCAACA